TACCACTCCTTAAGAAAGAGAATGAGAATAATTTGAATCAGCTTCCTACCATTTCGAATGAGCAATCAGGCCGAGAAAAAGTGACTCCAGCTACTTCTAAAATGTTACCAAGAAGGCAGGCATAGCTAGGAAACTCCAATGATATATCATCAGGAAGTACATTCATATGATCTTGCATGCCAGATACCATCTGATGAATGTAATGTTGACTCACAGCTGGATTTGCAAAACCCTAGATAACAAAAAATCATCCCAATTACAAACTGAAAACTACAATTAGAATTCCGTACTTCAATGTACTAGGATTTAGTACCCAGCAAGGTTAAATAAAGAACAGATGAACAACTCTATAGAACAGTAACCTAATAACAAAACAAATCTACAAAATAAGGTATGAAGTAACACCAGAATATTCTTTTTTTGGAAAATAGATTTCAGGCTTTTTTCAGCAATATTTCCAAGTAACTATAAGGAAAACGGTGAAATTGCATCAATAAAATTTGAGTATAACTCTTTACTATCTTTTCTTTCTTCTTTCCATTAAGCAAGAAAATACCTTTTTCAAGTATGGAAAAAGTTGCCACAAGAAAGGCAGTGTAAGTATCTGGGATGAGAAACTCCACTTGGGATCAACACTTGAGCATATACATGGCTCCCCACCAATGTGATATACTATGAGCATAAGTACGTGCTCCAGTGAAGATATTTCCGCAATAAAACGAAAAGCATCACTTTCCTGCATCATATAATATCAAGTAATTTCATAAAAATTGGAGCACAACCTACAAAATTAATTACCTTACAATAAATTAAAAAAAAAAACAAAAACAAGAAAGCATGCATCTGTGCAAATTTATCTGGACCAATAAAATGATTACCTTTGCTGTAAGAACAATTTCTCTAAATAAATGGAATGCATTTCTTTGCAACAGATAGACGACTACTTTAGAAGCCCATGGAAGTTGAGGATTTATCAACAATACAACTGTTTCTAACAACAGTGCTGGTGCCATGCTGGTTAGATCTTTAGTTGCTAAAAGCTGATCCTTCAATCGATTTCTGTTTAACAAAACAATAATTTAACCTTATTTTCAGGCAAATATAAAGTATAAAAATTAACATCATATTACCCCAAAATAAAAGTTTGTATCAATTACAACATGATAGATCCCTGAAGCCAGCATTTAAAACACAATACTCCTAGAAATACACACATTCAATTTTTTGCAGCTGCAGTATACACGTTTTGGTGTGTGTGAGTTTGCCTGTAAATTCCAGCGCTTACTGCCCAATGACATGAATCATTAAAGCGATTATTAGACATGCGATGATTTTAATTTTTCTTCTGTTCTATTCCTTCTGACAGGGGATTGTGGAGAGAGGAGGCCAAGAACTCATGAAAACAATAGGTAAAGTGAAGAACCCACTTGATATGTATGGATGAGAGCTTCATGAAGACATAAAAAGTAAACCACTTAGGTAGCTCCACACTTAAGTACGATAAAATGAAACTTATCTCACTGTTATCCACTATGATTTACAGGAACGAAGAGACAGACAAAGAGACAGACATTTTTATCCCTAGAATAGAACAACTCCATAAATCCAACTAATCTCAAGTTACCAAAGCCTTCGAACTTAAGAATCTAACTCTATAAACCTCTATTGTGAAATTGGATGAACCATTTTTTTTTTAATTAGAAAAGGAGAAATAGAGAAAGTATTTTACTTCTCTTAGGGTAGGGGATGGCTCCCTATTTCTTTATTTTGGAGGACCATTGGTTGGGGTGTCTTCTCTTGCCTATTGATTTCCTCCTACCTATATACTTTCTAAACATAATGCAGCTCTTGCTTTTTTCATGAATCATTTAGATGGCATCTGTCTTAGAATCACTTTTTGTTTAAAAACCTCAATGACTTGGAAACTTTAGGTTTTTGGTCCTTTATCAATTTTTTTAATATGTCATGCTCCTTGAACTAATTGATGAGTTTGGCTACTTGATTCCTTGGGTGTGCAAATCTTCTTCCCTGGTTTTCTTCCCTTGTCGATAGAGAAGTAATGGTTTTGTCTCTCTCTAATAATATCTCTTTGCAAATTTTGTTACTTGCTAAAGGAGAAACAGTAGTTTTATCTCTTTCTAATATTATCTCTTCTTTCTTAAAAGATGGGGGGAAAAAAAAGAAACTATGCTGAAAGACAATAAATTAAGATCTCAGGAAATAGATTCTCGTGAGAACCATCCACATTAGCACAACAAGGCTCAACTCTGAAACAGTAACCAAATCTAGACAAGATGAAGGATACAAAAATATGGTGGTCAATTCAGAAAAGGCAATTAAGCAGTCAACCTATTCTGATGTATAGCCTCGATACAAGCAAATACAAGTTTCTTCACTTTGTAATCCACCAAAGCACGGCATGATGAATAGTCCCCACCAGCAAAAAGGCTCACAATATCTCCTGGTGCACAATAAGATATTGTTAATATTAGGAAACAAGAATCAAAAAAGCAATAACCTATAAAGCAATATTTTATTCAAAGAGATTTTGTTTTAACTCCAGAAATGTTAAACGTAAGAGATTAAGCAACAAAAAGACGTATGCAGAACCATGAGAGCGAAGTACAGGAGAAGAGACAAAAACTATATAGTTAAGACGGACTGATAGATAAAAAATTAAAGATGTAAAATGTGCACTGGTTATGAAATAGACCACTAAAATTACCATAAAAATACTCTAAGAAGGTATCATGATTGAAATACCATTATTCTGAAGAAGATGCTGGAGCCACTGGCATGTCGCTTCGAGGGTAGCAAAATCACCATCATTCTGTGCATTGAAGAAAAAAAAGAGCTGCCGAAGGAACCCTGAATCTGGTCCAAAACAATGTCTGAACCAAAAAGGAAAATCAAACAAATTAACGGATGACGTAGAAGAACTCATTCAGAAGAACAAAGATGCAATGTAATAGAAGAGAACAAACAGCTGCAGATATCGATGAGGATAAAAACAAAAAGGAATCCAAGAATTTTCTACAAACCATCAGAAGTCAAAAGCACTGGATAAAAGGGACATAATATCCCACCTGTTTACATTCTCGCAGTATTCTCCATAGGTTTCATAGAACTGCTCTCTCAACTTAGAGTGTTCAACTCCCACAACCTTTCTCCCTCTGAAATATTTCTGTAGCAAGTAAAGTCAAGATCTTGAAACCAAAAAATGCACAAATATTTGAAGAGAATTAAAGACTCTCAGGTGCACTAGGTACGGGTTAATAAATTCTCTTCTTCTCAAAAAAAAAAATGAAAAAAAAAATTACTTGAAGCAAGAGCAAAACTCAACTCAGCCAACTATAAGTGATATCATATAGACTACCATACAACAAATGAGAAATTGACAATTCATTCTGGCCTTGAAGATTTAATAGGAAAAACTAGTAGAGAGTATAACCCCATCATATAAGCAAATCTGCAGCCAGTAAAGTATGAACTCGAAGCAAACTTTGTCATCCGCATTATAAGAAGACGCCAAATTGAACTATACTAAGTGTATTTTCTTTTTAAAATAGCCATATTAGGTAGGACCTAAACTGACCAATAAGATGTGAGTCCATGGGCATGTAATAGTTATGGCTTGCCTATCCCCATTAGCAAGCATCCCATATTTCTTTACAAAAATGCATCCAAATTAATTTTATTGCCAATTTGGGAAATTTGTGTACTCCTTGTAGGTTTTTTGTGATAAATCACGATGAGATCCACTTGCCAAAAATAGACCACTTCATTCTTGGCATGTATTCCTATAGGAATTTGCATTTAATACTCCAATGCCAATCAACGTGCATCCAATGTCTTCAAATTTTCCATTGCCCACATAATATACCTTTATAGCAAACTGTTTGGAACTGGAAGCAAATCAAATAGTTGCCCTAAATTCACTTTTTTATTTCCTGCCAATAAATTCTCCAATAGGATGTAGTAACAACAACCTTATGAACAGCAACACCCATTTAAAATTCATCCTGAAAATTTCATCATACCAATGCAATGCAATAACATAAACCCACCCATTATTAAGCCATATATGCCACCCAATCATCAGAGTTGTCCATCAGACCAATCCCCCGCCTCCTCTTAGCAAAGAACTACCGGCTTTACAGATACAAAACTAGAAAAGTGAACTCGAATTGATAACTCAACACATACTTAACATCAGCATGGCGCACTAATGCAGCAATCTATCCAGTAAATAATCTCTCAAAACCATTATAACCCCCAAAACAAGAGTATTCGAAGAGACGAGCTTCAATTTAAAAATAATAATAATAATTAAATGGCCAAAACGGAGATGGTCAAAAAACGTTTAGACAAGAAGAACAATTCAATAAAACCTCACTTGAATTTTTATTGCAGCAGAGTTCTGCTGGCGCAACAATAGCCTCCGGTTCCTCTCCAGCCTCGTTTGCTCGATGAGCTTCTGAGTGTCTCTTTCCTTCGAGCTCCGACCCCCCAAATCGACTCGTTTTCGAGTCGTTGATTCTCCCGTAAAGAACATTTTGTCAGCCGACTCAATTGAATGTAAAACCTAATCACAATACGAACGAGTACTAGAGCACCGTTCGATGAGCGATCAGAGATTCGTTGGTCCGATAAGCTCTACCACCCCTGTAGTAAGTTAGAAACCGAAAAGTAAGAAAGAAATGGGAAACGGATAGAGAATTCGTTGTAATTACGATTATATGAGACAGGAGAGAGAGAGAGAGAGAAGGACTGTACTAGGTGTTTGGATTGGAGGAAATCAGACGAGAAAACGAAGCGACAATGACTTGAGTTTTCTCGCTTGGAAGGCAAAAAGTGAAGGCGAGAGTCGGAATTGCAGTATTTATTGGAAGGCAGGCAACGGCGCCGTGTTGCGTTTAAGTCGTGATATTACAGCATTTCAACAACTCTAAGTCATTGGGTACGAATCTAAACAATTACAAATACTGAGTATATTTTTATTTTTTATTTGATTCTGACGTAATTAATAAATTGGATTTTGTATTTAAATTAAATTTGGATTCTAAAATTTTGAAACTTAAATAAATAAAAAAATATCTGTAATATTTAGAAAATGAATAATGTACCGTAGTTATAAAAACTTAAATAATAATTACTGTTAATTAAATATCTTAAATATACCCACAAAAAATACGGTTTGACTCGAAATTTTGGTGGGGAATTTTAGGATTATTTAAAAGAAATATGATTATAAATAATAAAATGATTTTCAAAATTACTTGCAACAAATAAATTATTATTAAAAAAAATTAAATTAGATATATGTTTGGATAATGTATTTTTGAATGTTGGATGGTCCTACAGTAGGCTCCAGAGCCCAGGCCCCCTTGGCTACGAACCAAACGGTGTCGTTTTAAATGATTTTTAAGCAGTTGGTAAGATTGCTTCAAGGCCCAACGTATTTGGGTAAGGCCATTTAAAGGCAGTATATCAAGAACTTATAGTTTTTTTATTATATTTATGTAGAAATAAATAATTAAATAAATGAAGAAACTATAATCCCCTATGATATACATATATATATATATGTATATATTTGATTTAGCTTTAACAAAACCCATAAATATATTAATTTTATTTTAAATATTTATACAAATATATAAATATATTTTTATAATATTTATATAGATTTATTTGTTAGACCACCTGATAATTTTTCCCACAGCCTAAATGCCAAAAAAAAAAAAAGAACTTTAGAAAATGAAAATGGACGAGAGTCCAACAGATATGATAAAATTCCTGACGGTCAAAGAGAATTAGGTGACAGCCGAGCTGTAAATATATATATATAAATAGAAATGATAGTCGGGGTATTTCCCAACTTAAAGACTTTTGGTCAACAGTCAACGAGTAATTTAACGACCGCAGCCGTAGATTATTTTGACTGGCTTTTCAGGGCGGTTTGACTCGATTATTTTAATTATAAAAATAAAAATTATTTTGTAAAAATAAAAAATATTGGATTGATAAAATTATTTTTAAAATGTTTTCATAATTTTTTAATACAATAATATTTAGTTTTTGTCTGCCAAACATGTTTTCTAAAATTATTTTTATTTTCATTTATTGAAAACAAATAATAATAAAGGAATCCAACGTAATATTAATTTTTTTAAAAAAAATAATTTTAATTTTAATTTTTTTAATAAAATATAAATATAATCATCAATTATACAATACATAAACACCAACTACGATAATATATAAATAATTTATAAATAATAGCACGTCCAATAGTATAATTCAACTTGAATTCAGAAAAATAAATATGGATTAGAATTCAAAAACCAATACAAAATCATCATACACAAAAATACAATCTAATAAAAATACGCGGATTCTAACTTTTAAATACATTAAAAAAATGCACACGTGGAGACCATTTTCGTAGTTCCGTTCATCTTTTTCTTTCTTTCTAAAAAGAAAAAGAAATTTTTTTGAACATTTAAATGAAACATTTGCAATGATTTGTAAGATATTTTAATAATTCCCGATTGGGGTTGGATCATTTTCATCAAACTAATATTTTAAACTTAATATAAATGAGGTAAAGAGAGTTCACTTCCTTTGTTGACAAGGAAGTAACTAGTTAAGTAATTATTTGTCAAAATAGTTATGATTATATATAATTTTTTTGTTAGAAAAATAAATCGAAACTTAGTCAATTACAAAATCATGATTGCTTAAAATAAGTGTCGAATAATATTTTAAACAATCATAGTGTTAAATATAATAGTTCATTTGTAGCTAATTTCGAATAAAAAATTGAGCTTGTCCCTTGTTTTCCATTTAAAAAACTAGGGTTGAGCTTTAAGGTGCAAAGCACGAAGTGTTATTGCATTCACATGTAGATTTGGACAAGGTAGTGTTTTGGATGTCGAAAAGGAAAAAAAAAAAGTGAGTTTTAATTATTGTCTTTAATTGATTAATTGCAAGAATCCCAAGTACATGAACTTATCGTAGATCTAACCCATAGTTTTATTATTTTTTATTGACTAAATCATAGTCTAAAAAGAAACAAGAAATAAATATGTACACAACTTAACAAACATCGACAAAATAAAATAAACTAATGAGTAAAGAGAATAATAAAACTTAGTATACTAGTTAAGAATAAAAAACTAGACATTAGTGCGATAGAGATAACAAAATATTGCTTACAACAATATAAAAAGTAAAAAATAGACAAAAGAATAAAGTATATGTAGTGATTTATAAGCAAACACGTCTCCACGCAGGGAATCACTCATAGATTATATTAGACAACCAATGAGAGTATGACAAGGATAGTAAAGAGAAACTTCAATGGGATGGCAAAAAGTTAAATTAGACTAAGAAACAAACATTATTTCATCAAATCAAATGGGATATAGAGTAAAATAGTTCACGAGTTTTATTAAATAGATGAAAATCATGGTTTTGAGAAATAATTAAAACTTTTAATTTCATCTAATACAAACTATAAAAACCATATATTTTTAACCTAAGATGAAGCCGTCATATAGTCATTTTCCCTAACCTAATGAAAAGAGCATGTGAAACTTGACAACAAAATTCGGACTAATATCTCTCTGCTAGCATGCAACTTTTTCGAGTACCTTTAATAAAGTCATATAGAAGGTAAATAAATCATTCAGTACTAATTCAATCAATTTTATCCAAATTCAAAATAAGAGATGTCTCATTTTTTATCTTGCGAAGTCTAAACTCCAATTTCCTTGACACTAGTTCCCAAGCACATGCAACATGAGGAATTACAACTAAAGTTAACCCTCAATACTTCATTGATAAGATAATTGCTTTGCATTTTAATATTTTATCTCCTAAAGCTACTCAATCCCCATGAATCTTATTGCCAACTAGACTACACCTGAAGAAACTGTCTTTAAGATCGAAAATCAATTGAAATTGTAACACCCCGAGCCTAATGAAAAAAGTTATCTTAATAATAATTTCAAAGAGTTTTAAATTCAATTTTTTGTTAATTTTTTTGAGTTATATGCATTTTTGACATATTTTAAATAATTTATGTAACACTCAGCTCCAGAAATTTGGCCTAAAATAATTTAAAATTAATAAAATAAATAAATTAAAATAATATAAATTTTAATTTCTATGAAATTTTTATGAAAATTGAGTTTTGGGTGCATTGAAAAAAAAATTCGAAAATTATTACCAAAATAAAAAAAAAAGAGATGACTTATTTGAAAAGAAATCTACAAAACTGAGGAAAAAATAAAATTTTCAAAAGTATGGTTACGTGGACGGAACGTCAACAACGCGGCCAGTGTCCGTGGGCTGCTGTTCAGAATCTTGATTTTATTCTTTTTAATATGAAATAGTTAAATCGAGGGATTAGCTGCACTAGAATAGTAAGAATATAACACTTATCACTGACACGAAAAATCGAAGATTAGTAAAAATTATAAAATAATTAATGGAGCCTTTAATTTCTGTAAATTCGTTCAGTATAAAATCTTTTATTCTACACTTACTGTTACGAGTTTTCAAAATCGACCTATAAAGCCAATAAATCATATAACAATATGATTTCATATATAAGTAACAAAAACAACAACTTTTCTTTTTATCTGCATACTAGTACATCTGGGGGTCAATAGGGATGTCCACCTACGCATGAATCTAATATTTAAATTTGTTAATTAACCGGTAGTTCCCATACCCCGTCCAGTAATAGGCACCAAACACAATCGTTTTGATGCTCCGTCTGATATGATGGTAAACTATATCTCCAAAACTCTTTCCGATATGGGACTGTTCGACTGAGAAAATATTCACAGTAGGGTTCTTTATGTATCAGGTCTGTCCACCCCTTCCCAAAGTTCTCAATAAGCTTTTGATACATAGATTTACACCATTAACCAATTACCACTTACATGTCAATATCTCATATTTATATATCAACTGTAAGTCATGTAAATAAACGATATGTACATCAAGAAACATGAGAGCTATGCAGTTAGGTAAACTAAACAACCGAGAAAGTAATTTAAACTAGCAATTCAATGCACACAACAAAATAGTAAGTATTTTAAGCGATACAGAAAAAAGTAAATAGTAAACCAGGGCAAATACGCACTGACTGGTTTCGACTCTACTAGTGACTTGTAATCTTTTTTAGGGTTTTAATCTACTATAACAAAAAAAATGGTGAGGAATTTTTACCACAGATCGGCGTTCAAAATACCGTGCTCTCTACTACACCTCCTGGCAGCGCATGAGTTTCCTGAATTTTTTATACGAAAATTAAAAAACCCGTCACATATCCAAAAATACATCAAAAGGCCAAAATAGGAGTTAAAAAACATCTTTGGCCAATTTAAGGGTTCCGACACAGCGGCACCGTCGTGCTCCAGCGTCGGCTCCACCTCCCACAGTGGCGGTTCACTTTAGCCTACTCGGTTTTGACTAGTTTATGCCATTTTTTGTTAGTTTTGCCTGTACATTTGCGAAAAAAACGAGTTAAAAGGCCTTGATTGGCCGAAAAAGGCAAAAACACAAAACCTACTGGTGAGAGGGTCTCCGGGTATGGTGGTTTCACCGGTCCTCCTTTGCAGCTTAGTCGGCTAAACTGCACCAAAGAAGGACGGTAAATACGGTGGTCAAAAAATTCTGTAAAGCGGAAAACGGGAAGGGGGTCATCAAAGAGGATTTTAGGTTTTGGCCGCGGCAGCTCAACCGAGCTTAGCTCGCGGTGTAACGGCCCCAGAAATTTAAAATGAAATGTGTATCAAAAATATCAAATGCGGAAGCGAAGTCAAAAAAAATTTGATTAACATCCCTTACCCTAAAACCAAAAACGTGCTCACAAAATATAAAAGATCAAACTACCTAAAGGAGAAACTCGA